AACGTTACAGACACAACTGCAAGCTGCAGCAGGCGATGATGATGTAAATAACAAAATAATTCACACATATATGAGTCGGATTAGGGGCATAATTGAACCATTTAAAAGACGGTCGTATATGTGTTTTAAAATTGGGTCGGATAGTTAGGGCATAAGTGACCCCTTTCTCTTTTAATATAAATGTCAAGTGATAATATATATAAATGATGTAAAATTCCATTTGGCATTTAAAGAAAAGTAAATTGAGTTGGATATTTTGAGTTGACCAACTAACATCCATAAGGGCATATGTAGACCAAAAGTTGGACGCGAGGGTATAAATGGACCAAAATTTAAACAGGGGTATATCTAGACCTTTCGAATAGTTTAGGGGCATATTTGATCCTTTTCCCTTGAATATAAATGTCAAGGGATAATACATAAAAGTGACGTGGAATATCCATTTGGCATTTAAATAAAAGTAAAATGAGTTGGATATTCCGAGTTGGCCAACTAACGTCCAAAAGGGCATATGTAGACCAAAAGTTGGACGGCGAGGGTATAAATGGACCAATCATTAAACGGAGGGTATATCTAAACCTTTTCAAATAGTTTAGGGGCATATTTGACCCTTTTCCCATAAAATAATAAATTCATATTAATTATTTGGTTTCCCTCTAGTATCTCTTTAGTAAAGTCAAATTTATCTTAAATGCATATTAATAAATAAAATATCATTTCGCGGATAGTAATAGTATAATATATAAGTATAATAATGTCATTTCGAGCATAAAAAGAACCATCAAAACTTTAAGCCTTGTCTCATAGTGATCAATGCTTATGGTTACATAGGGAGAGGATGCACAAGTGCTCTTAATGAAAATATCAAATCTCTGAGATAATAGGGACATACAATATTTTTACCTATGTATATAAATATAAAAGTGGTATCGCTTTAGCAAGTATTCTTAAGATGTACTCTAGTAAGTATTTATTAATTGAAACCAGTACATCATCTTTCAAGCACCTGAGCAAATTAACATCTTAAATAATTGGATAATATCGTGCGTGTGACATTTTTGATTTAGACAAATTGTGATTCAATTCTTAGTAGTACCCAACTACTTGTCTGAACTTCACAATATTTATACTAATAATACTTGGGTTTTGAAAAAAAAGATACATTTAGTGCTTTTGTATGTTTCGAATCAAATTTAGTAGAAGTTTCTAATAATACTTGGTGGCTTGATGCTCGTGCAACTACTCATGTATCCACTATGTTGCAAGGATTCATTACAATCCAAACCACAAATTCAAATAAGGACTTCGTATTCATGGGAGATCACATGAAGCCTCAAATTGAAGGCATAGGGACTTATCGATTGATCTTGGAGACTGGACATCACCTTGATCTATACGGATTCTTTATGTTCCTTCAGTTTTTAGAAATTTGATTTCCCTTTCAAGACTTGCTGTTTCTGAATTGGGATAATGCCCAAGTACCCCCTCAACCTATGCCCGAAATCTCAGAGACACACTTATACTATACTAAGGTCCTATTACCCCCTGAACTTATTTTATTAATAATTTTTTATCCCTTTTTAGCCTACGTGACACTATCTTGTGGGCCCAACGATGGTTGACTTTTTTTTTCAAACTAGTGCCACATAGGCTTAAAAGGGGTAGAAAATTACTTATAAAATAAGTTAAGGGGAGTAATATGACCTTAGTATAGTATAAGTGTGTCTCTGAGATTTCGAGCATAGGTTGAGGGGGTACTTGTGCATTTTCCCTTTCTGAATTTGATTTTAAGTTTGGACATGGATGTTTCAATATATATAAGAATACTATTTTTTTATGGTTCTGGTGTTCTTATTGATGGTTTATATAGATTGAAACTTGATAATAATTTTTCTAAATCTTTACTTACTATTCATCAACATGTTGGAATTAAACGTAGTTCACTAAATGAAAGTTCTGCTTATTTGTGGCATAAACGTTTGGGTCATGTATCCAAAGAACGATTAAAAGGATTGGTAAAGAATGAATTCTTTCGAATTTTAATTTTGCTGATCTTGATATATGTTTGGATTGCATCAAAGGAAAGCAAACAAAACATACCAAGAAAGGTGCCACAAGGAGCACTCAGCTTCTTGAAATTATACACACTGATATATGCGGACCCTTTGATGTTCCATCTTTAAATAGATTTTATCACCTTTATCGATGAATTTTCACATTATGAACTATCTATTTATTGAAAGAAAAATCTCAAACAGAGGTCGCTCTCAAAGTGTACGTCAATGAGGTTGAAAGACAATTAGATAAAAAGGTGAAAATCATTAGGTCAGATA